CAGGTGTGGAAACCTGAGGAAGTCTGTGAAGGAGCACGGGATGCAGCCGCACCCCCACTGTCTTGGCATCAGCAGGACTGCCAGGCAAATTCTCCCCCCTCACTCCCCAGAGCTGGCTCTGACTATCCTTTGCTGCTTCTGCTCACCTCAGGGACCCTCCTAGCCGAGCTTCGAGAATACAATTTGGAGCAGCAGCGGCAAGCCCAGTGTGAGATCCTGTCTCCAGATGGGCTGCCTGAAGAGCAACCCCAGACTACCCGACTGAAAGGAAAGATGCAGAGCAGGTGGGCCACTGGTCTTCTGGGCAACACCTAGGCTCCACAGTGTTGGTGGCCAAGGCCTAGCCTACTGGCAGCACCCTTTTCCTTCCCTGGGCATGTGTTTCCCACTCTCATCTCCTCTTCCTCCCCCACCCTCATCCCATCCTCCCTTCCTCTTCTCTCTCATCTCTCTCTCTCTTTCTTCCTCTCTGTCTCTGTCTCTGTCTCTTTCTTCCTCTCTGTCTCTTCTTTCCCTCCCTTTCTCTCTCTTCCCCCCTTCACTCTGTGTATGTGTCTTTCTCTGCGTGTGTGCGCGCGCGCACACACACACACACACACACACCACCCCTACCCACAACACCCCCGGTCTCCTTCGCTCGCTTTTCTCTCTCTCACACTCACATAGCCACAACCACAGCAAAAACACCCCCCTGCCCGGCCCCCTAGGTTTGACACAGCTGAGAATGTGGTGATCGTGGCATCTCAGAAGCGCCCACTGGGCGGTCGAGAGCTCCAACTGCCGTCCATGTCCATGCTGACGTCAAAAACGTCCACGCAGAAGTTCTTCCTGCGTGTGCTGCAGGTCATCATTCAGCTCCGAGATGACACACGCAGAGCTAACAAGAAGGCCAAGCAGACAGGCAGGCTAGGTAGGCCACTTAGCCAGGGGCCCACCTTGTCCAGGTCTGGAGCTGAGGCACAGGATGCCAGCCAGTGGTTGGTCTCTATTCCATTTCCTCATCCAAGGGGCTGTAGGGGGAGGGGGTGAGGACTCACTCTTTCTGGCTTTGCTCAGTGCCCTGCGGCCGTGCCCTTGGAACACCCCTTGGTCACCAGCCGCTGCGGCTTCCCCGGGGTTGCTTCTGCCCTCTTTCTGCAGCCTGAAGGGCCTTCTATCTGCTCCCCATTCCCAGGCACCTCCAGCCTGCGCTCGGCTAGCAGCATCCAAGCAGCTGTTCGGCAGCTGGAGGCTGAGGCTGATGCCATTATACAAATGGTATGTGAGGGTCAAAGGACGCGGAGACAGCAGCAAGCAGCAACGGTTAGCATGATGCCTGGGGCCTCTCATTTGTTCATTTTCTTTTTTCTTTCTTCATCCGCGTGTTGTTCTTCTTCCCCACCCCCACCACACTCCCCACTCTGTGCTTATCCGTGAGCTTAATGTCCAGATGCTTCTAGGGAGCAGAAGTTAAGTTTCATTTCTCGGTTTTTCTCTTTCCTTTGTGTGGGCTCAGCCCTGACCCTCTTAGTTGCCTAATTGAACCTTCCTCAGATCTCTTTTCTGGGTTCTCAGTAGGAGTGGGGAGGTAGCCAAGCCACCTTGGTCACCCTGACCAGCACCCCTTGGGGCCCTGCACACTTGAACACACACCCTGCCGCAGCCCTGGGTCCTCAAGAGCGCCGAAATGATTGGGGGCCCTGCTCAGGAGGGTGACGTGGTGGCTTGCAATACCAATGCCTGAGTGGCCCTGCCCCCTTGACCCAGAAAGAAGAGAAGAGAACTCTGAAGCTTGTGTCTAGGAAGGCCTTGTACCACAGTGTAGACCAAGTCTTTCCCTAGGAAGAGCAAGCTGGGGAGGAAAGGGCAACAGTACTGGGGAAGAATGGAGCAAAGTGCAGGAAGGACCACCAGACAGCTTGGCTCCAGGCACCTCTGCTTGCCTTCTGAGGCAGCTTTAGCTTCTCCTCTGATCCTGTTGTATCAGGTCCTGAGTGCTGACAGAAGGGCAATGAAGGGTCACTATCCTCTCTGTTACCTGTGAGAAGGGCCCCTGCTTGAGGAAGCAGGGACCCAGACTTCCTGGTGACTAGCCACGTCTCCCATTTTGTCCAGTCGGAGTCCAGCCAGTCTGAGATTGCTTCCCGGAGGGATGAGTCTCCCATGGATGTGGACCAGCCATTCCCTGCTTCTCAAGATACGCAGTCCATTGGTCAGTACCATGTTCTTGTCCCAGGGAGATGGGAAGACCTGGCCTTGGAACCTGTATGGAGCAGCCCATTCCCAGGCTAATGTGGCAGCGGCTTGACTAGGGGTGGGTGCAGGGCTCTTGCGCTGACCTATCTCCTTTTGGGAGGGCCTACCACTTAAAAGTATGCCTGCACATCTCTGTGCATCCGACCCTTTGAAGAAAACTTGGCCTCCAAGTCTGGTTGGAGAAAAACCTCTGCTCCAAAAAGCCCTTGAGAAACTGCCATCTGGTTGGCACTCGGTGAAGGTCTTTTGTGTCTGTTGGACATGAAACCCTGTGCTTGGGGATCCCCCGTTCTGCCCTGGCAGTCAGGGGTGACCACTTGGGCCACCAGGAAGGCTTTGGAATATCTGGCCTTCATGTGTTTCTCCTTCCCACCCAGGCTCCGAAGGAAGCCATCAGAGCGAGAAGGAGAAAGAAGAGAGACCCCCTGATCTTCCCCTGCTTAGTGAGCAGCTGAGCCTAGATGAACTCTGGGACATGCTGGGCGAGTGTTTGAAGGAGCTCGAAGAATCCCATGATCAACATGCAGTGCTAGGTGAGCGCATGGGGCCTCCCGGGCAGTGAGCCCCATCTTCCTTCCTTTGCTGGTCCAAGGTGTAATCTGGTCTGCTCATCCCTTCTTCCTGCCCCCCCTCCCCAGTGCTGCAGCCTGCTGTCGAAGCCTTCTTTCTGGTTCATGCCACTGAACGGGAGAGTAAGCCACCTGTTGGGGACACGCGGGAAAGCCAGCTGGCTCACATCAAGGATGAGCCACTGCCACTCTCCCCTGCTCCTTTGACCCCTGCCACCCCCTCTTCCCTGGACCCCTTCTTCTCCCGAGAGCCCTCATCTATGCACATTTCCTCCAGCCTGCCCCCAGACACACAGAAATTTCTTCAGTTTGCAGGTGAGGAGGAGAGGAGAGCTGTCCTGCCCTAGATTGCCCTTGGGAAGGATCAGTGGAGTATAGTTGATCGTGCTAGCCTGGGTTGGCCCCAAAGCTACCCTAAAGAGTCAGGCAACAGAATCCCATGTCCCCAACTTCAGCCTGCCCTTCCTTAGTCGAGAGTTGGGAGCCCAAATGGGAAGGAGGATGGACAGCCTGACATCTGAGGACCTACCCTTCTCACACACACTTCAACCCTAGCAGGGGCTTAAGCTCAAGCTTGGCCAAGGGGCATGTGTCTCCATCACTGGGGCCCGGCCAGACTCTGCACGTGACATGTCCGTGGAGCTAGGGGAGATAGGACTCGGATCACAAGCACCCTTCCTGATGGCCACTGTCTCCCCTGTCCTCAGAGACTCACCGCACTGTGCTAAATCAGATCCTATGCCAGTCCACCACCCATCTCGCAGACGGGCCCTTTGCTGTCTTAGTGGACTACATCCGCGTGCTCGACTTCGATGTTAAGCACAAGTATGTGACGTGGTATAGAAGTGGGGGCCACTGCGGGTGCTGAGCCTGATTCCTTCCTGGGGGGACAAAGGACACGTCTGTGTGAGTCACTCTTTCGAGCATACAAAGCACTTGGGCCCCTGGTAGTGAGGCTTCCTGGCCTGCACACCGGTACTGACTGTCACTGTCCAGTTTCCCAATCTGTAAAATGAAGGCGGGGGATTGAGGGGGGCGGGGGGTAGGGACACTTGGTCAGACTACATTCCAATTCTACAATTTGTCACGTAGCACGAGCCCTAGAATGCCACAACCTTGGGTAGTCAGTTATTGTGTTTTGGGTCCTGTTGGCCACCCTGGGCTTGAAGCAGATAGTTCAAGGGCCCGTGGTTGTCCTCTACTCTCTGGGTATCCATGGGCATGATGTGAGTCTGCAGGTCTAGGCCCCATGGGGAAGGGTTATTCCAAGTCCACTGCCTATTGCCTCACTTGAGGGAAATGTAGGGAGCAATGGTAAATGGCTGCTATGTGGGGGTGCCTGTGTGCCTTCATGCTCCCACAAATTGGGTCTTGGAATATATTCCTAAGCCCTCAACCCCCAGCTACTTGTTAGGGGTTCCTGTCGCTCTGTTGTCTTAACTTAGTCCAGCCTTGCTGTCTGCCCACACCCCTGCCTTCCCTCCCATGTTCCCATAGGATGACCAGACGGAAGTCTTCCTCCTCCCTGTTCCCCAGGTATTTCCGCCAAGAGCTAGAGCGTCTAGATGAGGGATTCCGGAAAGAATACATGGCTGTGCATGTCCGCCGTGACCATGTGTTTGAAGACTCCTACCGCGAGCTGCATCGAAAATCCCCAGAGGAAATGAAGAATTGATTGTGAGGGCACTGGGTGAATGGGGAGGAAAAAATGCACTCACCTCACCTCTTCCCCCCCCCACCCGAATGCACACGCGCGCGCGCACACACACACACACACACACTCACACACACACACGACAGCTACTTTTCAGCCATCTGAAGTATGACACTTGGGGAAACATGTAGGAAATCACTTCTAATGATCCCCAAATCTCTAGAGCTGCCACCACGCCCCCCCCTGCCCCCCCAAAATGGCCAGGTGACTTGCCTGCTTGACTCCAAGTTGACTCCTAAATAGCAGAGATGGCCTTCCTATCTCAGGCCTCAATCTCCACATCCAGCATTGCACCTGCTTATCAATCACCATCACCTCAAATTTTAAGAGGTTCACCCTGTTCTTTGTCAGAGGCCCAGTTGGCCTTTGGCCAAAGGCAGACTCTCAGGGGATCATGGGGGCCAGGAGTAGATGTCTGTCAGAGTGATCTCATTTGGGTTGAGAGTTCAGGCAACATCTTTACCCCACCCCCACCTCAGGCACCCTCATCCTCACTTTCACCCCACACTGCAAGAGATCGGGGCTTTGTTGGCCAACAGAAAAGCACTGAATTAGGGATTTAAAAGACCTGAATCCTGGCTGAGTGACCTTAATTTCATCAACTTCTGGCCCTCAGTTGACCCATCTCCCAAATGAGGATTTGTCTAGACAATGTCCTAGGTCTCTTATAATTCTGGCCCAAAATCCTATGATCTTATTTGTTAGTGGCCTGAATGGGCATGGGAACAGGGCCAGGGCCAGGACTGGGGACTTTCTCTGGGGAGCCTGCAGGCAGTGTTTCCAGGGCTTGCTGCTGGGATGGGGTGCTAATGGCATTCACATCCCATCTCCCCCACACCAGGTACATAGTGTTTGAAGGAGAAGAAGGCCAGGATGCTGGGGGCCTCCTCTGAGAGTGGTACATGATCATCTCCCGAGAGATGTTTAATCCCATGTACGCCTTGTTCCAGACCTCACCCGGCGACCGGGTCACCTACACCATCAATCCCTCCTCCCACTTCAATCCCAACCATCTCAGCTACTTCAAATTTGTCGGGCGCATTGTGGCCAAGGTTGTATATGACAACCGGCTTCTAGAGTGCTACTTCACCCGATCTTTCTACAAGCACATCCTGGGCAAGTCAGTCTGGTGAGGAAATGGGCATCCTGACCTATCAGGCCTGGCTGGGACCAATGCTGCTCCCCTGCCCCCCAGCTCCTCTCACCCTCTTTTCATAGCGGGTTGTGCTTGTCTTTAGGTACATAGATATGGAAAGTGAGGACTACCACTTTTACCAGGGCCTGGTTTACTTGCTGGCAAATGATGTTTCCACTCTTGGCTATGACCTCACTTTCAGCACTGAGGGAAATCTAAAATGTAGAAACAACAGGTTCTCCTCATAGGGAAGGGGATAGGGAGGCATTCTAGCATTCTAGCCCACTGGGGCTTTTCTTTCCTACAGGAGCTATCCGAAAACAGTCGGCAGCCTTTTTGGAGGGTTTCCATAAGATCATCCCCAAACGCCTCATTTCCATCTTCACGGAGCAGGAGCTGGAACTTCTCATCTCAGGACTGCCCACCATAGACATTGATGACCTGAAATCCAACACCGAGTATCACAAATACCAGTCCAACTCCATCCAGGTGAGTGACCCCTCAGCAGGTGCCCCGGCCCTCTTCAGTTCTCAGGCTCATCCCTAGGGAAATCTCCCAATGGTACTGACGATGAACATGAACAGCAAGCGTGGCAAGGCGGATTAGAAGGAAGGGCCCTGAGACCCTGTTGGAATGATGGACCTCCTGGAGCTGAGAGGTTGAGCATCCCTCACACATGGTCAAGGCATGCCTTTGGGAGCAGGACATCTTCCCTTGATGGCCAAAGAGAATCTTGGGAATGAGCATCACTTCCTTGGCCATAATGCTTGACACCTCCCTCTCATTTTCTTTTGCTGAATGAGCAAAAACCACAGAATTGCTGTTCTGACAAGGACTTTAAGATACCAGCTAGCCTGAAGATCCGTGTGTCAATAAGAGAAGGAAATGGGCTCATATGTGGGCAGTTAGGGACTTCAGATTAGAATGGGCTGGAGCGAGAAAGGGGCTAGTAAGTGCCTACTATGTGCCAGGCACTGGGCTAAGTCTTGTCAGGAGACAAAAGCAAAAACCATCTTAGTTCTCAGGGGCTCACGTGATCAATTAGAAATGATTAAGAAAGAAAAACAGCAGGATGCCAGGAATTGGGAAAGCGTTCCTCTAAAAGATGGGTGTTTATTTAGCTGGGACTTAACCCTGTTCCATCTTTGTTGCTGACCTCCAACCTCCCATCTCCAGTTGCCTCCAACATCTCGAAACTGCATGTCCAATAGACGTGTGAAACTCAAACGTGTCCAAAACAACTCGTCATCCTTCCTTCTGAACCCTCCCTCCTAACCTTCCCTTTTACTCTAAAGTCCATCCCCATCTCCCCATGCCGCAGGCTCCCAACCTAGGAACCCTGTTGGACTCCCGGTGTCTCACCCCTTACATCCATTCTGACAGCCAAGGCCTGTCCATTTCACCTCTGCAACATCTCTCAGATACGCCCCCTCCTGTTCTCTGACATGGCCCCCACCCTGATGACGGCCCTCATTCCCTCACTCCTGGACTATTACAGTAGCTGCTGGGGGGAGGGGGGAGGTCTGCCTGCCTCTTTCTCTCCCCACTTGAGTCCATCCTTCATTCAGCCATTGAAGTGATCTTCCCATGTCAGTCCCCTACTCAACTCCTGGGGCTCCCTGTCGCCTCTAGGAACAAATACAAAATGTTCTGTTTGGCATTCAAAGCCCTCCGTAACCTGGGTCCTCCTCCCCTTCTAGTCTTCTCACACCTTGTACTCTTTGATCCAGTGACCTCGGCCTCCTGGCTGTTCCACCAACAAGACCCTCCATCTCTGGACTCTGGGCATTTTTTTTGGCTGTCCCTCATGCCTGGAACACTCTCCTGCCTCATCTCTGCTTCCTGGCAAGTCCCACCTAAAATCCCATCTCCTTCAGGAGGCCTTTCCCTGTGCTGGTCCAAACCGCGCACTCTCTTTCAGCCAGATCAGGCAACCAGGGTCATACTCACCGGTCCTCGGAGGCCACCCGGATTTACCAGAAACGAGCCGACCAAGAGGTGCAAAACCTGAACTTTATTCAATGATCATCACAGCAAGGCCAGGCAGGAAAGTACAGGCGCACGAGCAGGAGCAAAAGCGAGCACGCTCCGGTCCCTACAGTTCTTTAAGTACCTTCCTCGTCCCTCCTCCTCAGCCTGCCCATAGTGACTCGTCATAGGATCAGACATCGGAAGGGGATGTCTAGCGCTAGTGCCCAGACAAAGGGAGCATACATGGCACAGGAAGTGGGGCCTAGATATTTGGAAGGAGGCATGAGGGATCAGTGCATAGACAAAGGAGAAAGTACATGACGCAGGAAGTCGGGCCCAGATACCGGGGGGAGGCGTCTGGGGTCAGTGCTACACCTAGGGAGAATACGTGACTCAGGAAGTCAGGTTTGGACACAGGAAGGAGGCGTCTGGGGTTAGCGTGGTGCCTAGGGAAGGGGGCTAGACAAAGGAAACTGGTTCTCTGCCATCCCACTCCCACGTGGCACAGCCCCTGCCTCAGGAGTACGTGCTCCAGCTACTTCCTTGTACCCTGTTTCTTCTCCAGCTTGTCACAGCTCCACATAGCACTGCCTCTGCCTCGGGAGCGTGAGCTCCGGTTACTTCTCCGTATCCAGTTCCCATCCCAGTTCACCACAACTCCGCCTAGCACAGCCCCTGCCTCAGGAGCGTGAGCTCCGGTTACTTCCTAATACCTAGTTCCCGCCCCATGTTGCCACAACCCCTGCTTGGCAGTAGCCAACACCAGACCATCCCTCACAATTCCCCCTTTTTGTTTAATTGAGGGGACGTGGACGGGGTCTCAGTACTAGGGTCTCGGTTTTGAGTGCCTCAATAGAACCTTTAAGAATCCTAAAGAAACATCCTAATATAGTGGGTAGTAACAATAATAGTATAAATGCAAAAAGAGCTATAAATGCCCAATGGGTTACAATGGAGGGGATGGGGAAAGAGGTATGTTTAATCCAATCACTAAGGCAGTGAACAATATCATCAGTCTCGTGCTGGTGCCAAGTGTCAGATATGTTCCGTGCTAGTGTAATTAACACCCGTAAAGCCTGGAGTTCAGAGGAAAGATTTGTAGCCTGGATCTGGGAAAGGGCACGGGTATCATTACACCAAATAGAAAAGAAAGGGAGAGTGTTATTTATGCTTTGTGAAAGGGTGTCACAAGTGGTGTTATGATTTAAGGGTGTTACACAAATGGATCGATATCTGCCATCACATGGCAACTGCTGTTTCAATTCCAGCCACATGAGTTCATTCCCAATGTCCTGAGTAGCCAATGCTATTTTATGAATCTGCTCCTCCAGCCGCTGATCAATATCAGCCTGCACTTGGAGGGCGTGGGCAAATTTATTGGCCAGCTCCTCTATTTGTGAGGCAAGCAATTGCTGTCCACTATGTAAGTCCTGTATCTGGAACTCCTCGAAGATGGATGCTGCCAACGCCAGTGCCCCCAGCCATTCTCTCTTGTGTCGATGATAATTAATTGCTTTACCTATCTCCTCCCACCTGGCATCTTCAGCAGTGGGGAACCAATTGGCAGGGGTCTTAGCTTTTGTCAGTGTGAGGTGTCGAATACCGAGGAGGTACAATGAGGAGTTCAGGGTCCAGCTATCTGGGTTAATCACATCAGTCAATGTGCAGTTCCAGGTAGATATGTGAAACTTGGGACCCCCCAGTTCATCAGAGTCCTGAGTTAGGGTGTGTTGGGAGTTGGGGCAGATTAAAAATCCAAAACCTCGAGGGGCGATGGCTGAGGCTTGGAAACGGTATCCCGTCGTGTCACACCCTTCCCTTGTCCTATGCACAGTAGAGAAATTGACCCCCCCATGCCCAAACCATGAGCGAAAGGCTTGATAAGTGGGGTCATGGCATGGGGATTCAGGATTTGGGCACTTGCACAGGGTGGTATTCATGGTCATATTTTGAGATATAGCGAGGGCTATTTTCCATATACCTGGGTGGATAATGTCCCGGAACACTAACACCGGTTCTGGCATTTCGGCCAGTTGCTGACCTGTCTGTTCAACTACCCAGGAATGGAGCACTATTCCCCGATTGTCTTTAAATAGGGTGTCACTCAGGTATCCTTCAGCAACCCAGTTGTTACAAGGGATGGGAGCATGACACTGAGTGAATTTTGGCCATAAGGGGGTGGCTTTGCTAGTAATGCATGGG